CGCCCGGGCCAAGCGGAGAGCGGAGGGGGCGGGTCCCTCCTGACCGCGCCCCGCCCCCGGTGACGTCACCGGCAGCGGCCACGTGCTGCTGGCCCCGCGGTGCCCGCGGGCTGGTCCTGCGCCCAAAGGCGTGGTCCCCGCGCGGCGCCCCGTCCACGGGGTGGATGCCCCCGCTCGCCCCTCCCCGTTTCCAAGCTCCTTGGTCACTGGACTCCCGTGGCCCAACAAGGCCTTTGGGAATCCGCTTTTCCTTGTCTTGCCTCTGCTCCCTCCCTGCCCTCCTGCCAGTCCTGTGCCCGCGGAAAGGCCTCCTGCGATGTGGGCTGACCTACCGCACGCCCGGGTTTCCCAGACACTCCTCTCTTTTGGGGCCCTGGTGCTCAATCCGGAGCGCCAAATGTGTGGTTTTAAAAGGCGACCAAATGTCCAGGTTTTCGCTTTGCCTCTGCTTTTGCTGGGGGCTGGGGGCAGTGGGGAAGCTGGCCGGGTGCGTGTGCGAGCAAGCTGCTTGTGCAGCGGGGCTGGGAGGGGGCAGGAGTGCAGCGCACCAGCCGCACTGGGAGGCAGGGGCTGCGGGTCGGGAGTGATGAGCATTGGCAGGGCTGGCGGGTGGGAAAGGGGCTGCGAGTTGGGAGTGAGGGGTGCTGGCAGGGCTGAGAGGGCAAGGGGCTGCTGGGGTGCCTCAAGTCTCAAAGGGCTGTGACCCACTGGTCTAACCTCTCCTTGTTCCCATGCAGGGTGGCTATAGGCCATACAGGTCCTGGGCTGAGACCCGTGGTCAGGGGCACTGACATGATTTGACATGGCCAACCTGTGGAATCAAAACCAGGTAGGAGCTGCTGGGAACGGAGGTCTCCCCCACTGCCAGAAAGGTAGGGCCTGGGGGGCACCAGAGACCCACAGAGAGAAGCCCACCCCCACAGAAGTCGGGGAGCTTGTAGAGGGCAGCCCCACCCCGTGGACTGCATGACCCCTTGCTAGGTGACAGCCAGTCAGGGTTGCGCTCCAGACCATGACT